CTAATGAGACTAAGATTAGAATAACAACTATTAAAAGGACTGTTCCAAGTAGTCTTCCTGAAGATAGATAACACAATTAGCCCAAATCTAATGCACATATCTCATCTGATCCTGTCAACAACTTAAACTAACTGACCAAATAATGTATGGCAAAACCATCATTTAAAAGCAATTTTATGAACAAAGTGAGATGAGATCAGTCTTGAAGAAGAATCAATGCTCAACAAAACAATATTTCAAACAGAATTAGCACAGTGAATGATACTGTAAATAATAGTGATTTTATCAAAGTGAGAGATTTACTGGTTCTTAAGTGCAAGAATCATTGTTTTCCGTTTGTAAATGCATTAATTAATATTTCGGACCAAAGGTCCATCTATTTATCTCACTGCACAAGCAATTCTATTTAAAAAATGTATTTGCACAGGAAGACTTGTAACTGCATGACAGTAAGTAATAAGGCATTTAAAATCAGAACCCCATTTGAGTGTCTCTGCCCTTTGAAGAGCTGAATGGTATCTGCTTTGCTTGCAGCAGGCTGTTTCTGAAATAAAACTAAAATAAAATTAAATTTGCACTCAATAAGAAAAGCTTTACTCATAATATTCAGACACTGGATAACAAAAAGATACCTACATCAGGGTCCTCCTTATTGACTACAGCTGTGCCTTCAACACTAATTCTAACCAAACTAATCTCCAAAGTCCGAGACTTGGGTCTTTGCTCCAAGCTCTGCACCCGAATCCTCAGCAAGGATGCGTACTCAGCCCCTCGCTTTACTCCCCATACACTCGTGACCGTGTGGTCTAATTTCATCTTAACTCCATCTATACGTTCTGCTGATGACATCACTGTTATAAGCCGGATCTCAAACAATAACAAGACAGAATACAGGGGAAAAAAAGTGGGCTTGGTGGTATGTTGCAAAGATAACAATCTCTCCCTCAATATCAGCAAAATGAAACACCTAGGTATTGACTTCAGGAAGCAAGGTGGAGGGCATGGTCCTACCTACACCAATGGAGCGAAGGTGAAGATATTTGAGGGCGTCAAGTTCCTAGGAGTGATGATTATCCACAATTTGCCTTGATCCACCCACACTGATACAACGGTCAAGAAAGTACAACACCTTTACTTCCTCAGTAGGCTAAGGAAATTCAGCATGTCTGTAAAAACTCTTAGCAATTTTTATAGACACACCATAGAAACTTTTGCAAATGTAGAAGCACGAGACAATTTACACGAGTCAAGGATGCCCCCCCACCCCACTGAAACCTGCTTGTGTTCCATCGCATTCTGTTCGGATGAATCGCAGCTTGGGATAGCAACTGCTCTGCCCAGGACTGTAAGAAACTACAGTTTTGAACACAGCCCAGTCCATCACGCAAGCCAACCTTCCATCCATTGACCCGATTATACTTCTCACTGCCTCGGAAAGGCAGCCAACATAAATCAAAGACCCTTCCCACCCTGGAAATATCTCTTCAACTTCGTACCAACGTATTTGGAACAGCTTCTTTACTGTTGTTATTAGATGTCTGAAAGGACTTCTCAAATTTTAAATTTAACGTTGATCTTGCTCTTTTGTGCCTTCTCTGCAGCCGTAACATTGTATTCCTCACTCTGTTGTATTACCCCATATACTTTGTACGGAATGATCTGCCTGTACTGCACGCAAAACAAAACTTTTCACTATCTAGGTACATGAGATAATAACCGTAAATAAAATCAAATAATAAATCAACTGCTGCATTTAAAATTGGTGCTTAGCTCTATGCTGGCCAAATCTTACACAAAAAATGGTCCTGCACTAGAGATAGTAGGAACTGCCGATGCTGGAGATTCTGAGATAACAAGGTGTAGAGCTGGATGAACACAGCAGGCCAAACAGCATGAGGAGCAGGAAAGCTGACGTTTTGGGTCTAGACCCTTCTTCAGAAATGAGGGAGGGGAAGGGGATTCTGAAATAAATTGGGAGAGGGAGGGAGGCGGATAGAAGATGGATAAAGGAGAAGATAGGTGGAGAGGAGACAGACAGGTCAAAGAGGCAGTAAAGGTGAGTGTAGGTGGGGAGTTAGGGAGGGGATAGGTCAGTCCAGGGAGGACAGACAGGTCAAGGAGGTGGGATGAGGCTGGCAGGCAGGAGATGGGAGTGGGCCCTGCGGTAGGAGGAGTGGATAGGTGAGAGAAAGGACGGACAGGTTAGGGAGGCGGGGATGAGCTGGGCTGGTTTTGGGATGCAGTCGGGGGAGGGGAGATTTTTGAAGCTTGTGAAGTCCATATTGATACCATTGGGCTGCAGGGTTTCCAAGCGAAATTCCAAGCTATTCCTGCAACCTTCAGGTGGCATCGTTGTGGCACTGCAGGAGGTCCGGGATGGACATGTCATCCAAGGAGTGGGAAGTGCAGTCGTTTGTCGCGAGTCGCAAACCGTGTGTAGATGTTCCACAAGCAGTCCCCAAGCCTCCGCTTGGTTTTCCCGATGTAGAGGAGGCCACATCGGGAACAGTGGATACAGTATACCACATTAGCAGATGTGCAGGTGAACATCTGCTTGATGTGGAAGGTCTTCTTGGGGCCTGGGATGGGGGTGAGGTATGGGGCAGGTGTAGCACTTCCTGCTGTTGCAGGGAAAAGTGCCGGGGTGGTGGGGAGCGTGGAGCGGACAAGGGAGTCACGGAGAGTGTAGTCTCTCTGGAAAGCAGATAAGGGTGGGGAGGGAAAAATGTCTTTGGTAGTAGGGTCAGATTGCAGACGGTGGAAGTATCGGAGGATGATGCGTTGGATCCGGAGGTTGGTGGGGTGGTACTTGACGATGAGGGGAATTCTGTTTTGGTTGTTATTGTAGGGAGGGGGTGTGAGGGAGGAGTTGCGGGAAATGCAAGAGACACAGTTGAGGGCATTTTCGACCACTGTGGAGGGGAAGTTGTGGTCCTTGAAAAACAAGGACATCTGGGATGTCCGGGAGTGGAATGCCTCATCTCGGGAGCAGATGCGGTGGAAGTGAAGGAATTGGGAACAGGGGATGGCATTTTTGCAGGAAAGTGGGTGAGAGGAGGTGTATTCTAGGTAGCTGTGGGAGTTGGTAGGCTTGAAATGGATATCGGTTTCTAGGTGGTTGCCAGAGATGGAAACAGAGGTCCAGGAAGGAGGGGTATTGGAGATGGTCCAGGTGAACTTAAGGTTTGGGTGGAAGGTGTTAGTGAAGTGGATGAACTGTTCAAGCTCCTCGTGGGAGCACGAGGGGGTGCCGATACAGTCATTGATGTAACGGAGGAAGAGATGGGGTTTAGGGTCAGTGTAGCTTTGGAAGAGGGATTGTTCCACGTATCCTACAAAGAGGCAGGCATAGCTTGGGCCCATGCCACCCCCTTTGTCTGTAGGAAGTGGGAGGAATTGAAGAATTTGTTGTTGTTGGCGAGGACGAGTTCGGCTAAGCGGATGAGGGTGTCAGTGGAGAGGGACTGGTCGGGCCTGCAGGACAGGAAGAAGCGGAGGGCCTTTAGTGTATAGGGAGTGGACGTCCATGGTAAAGATGAGGTGTTGGGGACCAGGGAATCGGAAGTTTTGGAGGTGGTGGAGGGCGTAGGTGGGGAGTTCCTGGACCAAGGGGGAAGAAAATGGAGTCGAGATAAGTGGAGATAAGTTCAGTGGGGCAGGAGCAGGCAGAGACAACAGGTCGACCAGGGCAGTCAGTTTTGTGGATTTTGGGAAGGAGATAGAAACGGGCGGTGCAAGGTTGGCGAATGATAAGGTTGGAGGCTGTGGGTGGGAGGTCACCTGAAGTGATGAGGTTGTGGATGGTTTGGAAGATGATGTTTTGGTGGTCAGGGGTCGGGTCATGATCAAGGGGTCGGTAGGAGGAAGGGTCAGAGAGCTGGCATCTGGCCTCAGCGATGTACAGGTCAGTGTGCCATACTAAAACTGCGCATCCCTTGTCCGCGGGTTTTGTGGTGAGGTTGGGATTGGAGCAGAGAGCTGCACGTTCTGTGGGGGAAGAGGTTGGAGTGGGGGAGAGGGGTGGCGAGGTTGGGGCGATTGATGTCTCGACGACAGTTGGAGATGAAGAGGTTGAGGGAGGGTAGGAGGCCTTGGGATGGTGTCCAGGAGGAGGGGGTGTGTTGGTGGTGGGAAAAAGGGTCAACAGAGGGAGGGTTAGGCTCACAATTAAAGAAGTAAGCACGGAGGTGGCGGAAAAACTGTTCAACGTCCAAGCGTGAGCGGTATTCGTTGACGTTAGGGTGGAGGGGGATAAAGGTGAGCCCTTTACCAAGAACTAACCGTTTGTCCTCAGTAAGGGGGAGGTCTGGTGGGATGGTGAAGACCCAGAGCAGGTCTGGGTCCTTGTTCTTAGTACAGTGTTCAATTTACCGCAAATTGAAGCCTTGTTGGCATAATACTCATTTCCTGTGGGACGAAAGACTGAAAAAAGATACTTTATTTCAGATTCTTCTTTTATTCATTTGTTTGAGTGTCCCAATGTAGCTGTTTAGAAATACAATGCAGAACTTTTGGATACATCTAAGCATGAAGGAATTTACGCCAGACAAGACTGTCATCCCCAATACTGAAACCTGCTTGTGCTCCATTGTATTATGAAGTAACCACAGCATTCATTCTGACATGGCTGTACTTTCAGCAGTGGAGTTGGACAAAATTGGATATTTCTGCTATACACAACCACATTGTCCTCCTCAGCACCATGGAATGATGCTAACAAGACTCCACAAATCCATGCACACACCATAGCATATAATATCACAGAATGCAAAATAACAATACAGCAAGCTTCATATTTCCACCATTAAAAATGCATGTTTTAGCCCAGTAAGTGTCACTAATATCATATAAATTGGATACAAGACTTCTTTCAAATTCTTCCAAATGATCAGTATCAGTACAAAAGCTGTGCAGTTTTATTATTAAATGTCATTGTTTTGTGTATTCCAGTCTTTCATGAAATTACCAGTTTAAACACAATTAAATGAGAAAGACAAGCATTTAATTAAAAACTTTATTATCCCACAGGTTTCATTTTAAAATGCTGTACATGTTAAATATATACAGCACTTTTTACATAAACATCCCTCAGATTAATTCTTATATGCACTTTATGTAATAGGTTGTTAACCATTATTTATTACTACACGAAACAACCTAACACCTTTTGTAAGGAGTGTTCTTTTTAACCTGTTCAGTTACAAGGATAGGCTATACAAATCGTTTCAAAATCCAATTTTAATTTGTATTTATTACTGCAAGTCAAATTTCCATTATTGATTAAACAAGACTTTTTGTATAAGAGGAGCTTAAACATTAACAATTGAACATTTATAACAATTTCTTTACATGATCCCATGATAATTGTTATGTTGAAAAAACAACAACTCAATGCAATGTATTAGATTATGGGGCAGACAACAGACATGGGTACAAACACTGACACAGCTTTTCATCATGTTATCATTATATAGCTTAACCGTACAAATACCCAAGTCTAGGACTTTCAGACAATATTCACAATAGTTTGGTCATTTAAGCATACTACACAAGATACTGGCATGCACATGGATGTTTTAGTATCCAGAAAATTTCCTGCAATATTAGTCATGCTGCCACAAAATTTTCTAAGTAAGTGAAGTTAGACAAATTCCTAAAATAATCAGCAAATAAAATCTTTGTTGGGAGGGGGCATTAAAAGTTTAGATACTTTTAACTAATGCACACAGCTTTATCAGTGTGTTGGCTTGGATTTTTCAAACCTTGAGAACTTAGTGTAAGCAGATTTGTTTTCCCAATATTAGTACGTATAGCAAACCAACATACTTAACCGGAAAGGTCTACTTAATACGTTAGGTTAACAAAACTGCAAAGAATCCAGATCTGTAGATCTTTAGTTAAACAGTTGTGACTATTGCCAACTAGTACATTCCTTCCAGAACAATCTACAAGTGTGTAATTATAATGCTCTAACAGAATTTTTATTGATACAAGTCATTTTGGTAATAAATTGCAGTTTTAGCAAAGACTATAGATGAATTTAAGAAGTACAAGTGGCTTTTTTGGCAGAAAGTCTGAAGAAATATTCCTGTGTTAAGACTTGATTTGAACTGTTCTCATCACATAAGAGGTATGCAGAAGAGTGACAGCTACCTCTATGGCCATGGTTTAGTGCTATGCAACATGGCCAAATCAGCAAAATAAATCCAAGTCCCAAGACAAACTTCATAGTAGCTTCTTCTTCAGTTAATACAAAATTTGTTTTTAAAAAACATTAAGTTTTCCGGTCTTAGTCCTGATACACTGGAACATTAAGTGCAGCATAAAAATGACGCTCCACTGCACAACACACTGCCATTTAACACGATTTTCATTACAATATGTAAAAAAGGTTAAAAAAAATACTTGACGTGGGCACAGTGCAAATTTCAAGTCAAACATTTTCTCCTGTCTTGGATACTTTACTATCTAACATTTTCAAATTACAACACGGTTTGGTGCTAGTCATGAGGTCCCCTGAAAAATTAAAAAGAAATGTGATTTTTATGGGCAAGTTATTACTAAATTACAGTTTCTGCTACAACAGTGGAGGGATTAAATTCCAGTCTTCTCCCTTCTACCCAGACAGAAAATGTGAGAACGCCTTAAGCTAGGCTTGGCAACGTGCCCAATGCACTGTAGTGGGTCTTCCATAGGATGAAATACAGCACCAGGCAGGCATAGACTCCAGATTATCATTAGTATGCATCTCTTTCGACTCGCTTTTTGCGGACTGTATGAAAACAGCAGGAAGATAAACAATAGTTAAGAAACGATATGGCCAACAGATAGTTTAGAATACATGTCACAGATCCATATCCCCCCCACTTCTGGAGATCTAACCTTTTCTGGTCAACTATAAATTCTGGATCATGCATTCAAACAGCTTTAAAATAGATGAAAGGAGTGCAGTAAGTTAGATAAAGACAAACTCTGAAAATAGCAGTTAGTGAAATGCAGAAAACTTTTGGTAATTAGTTCAACACTTCCAATTCTCCATTCTCAGCATGCTAAATACCATTTGAAACTTCATGGCTGGACAGCTGGCAAGGTCTATGAAGAATTTACTCATATTCCAGACTGAAGAAGCAAGATGACAGCAATTAGCAGGAATTAAAAATAAATACATGTAACATTGAAACTGAGCAGCAATTATTCATCTCAAACTGTTGCTTTGTAGATGTCCAGCGGTTGCAAGTTTGGTTTCAAGGCCAGATGCATCATTTTTGCTAAATCTTTGTTGATATTAAAAGTCTGTAGAAAGTATTCAGCACAAGGAAAACCTACAATTTAATTAAACCCAAAGATCTGAAAGGAAAATGGATAGCAACAGCAGATATAATGGCACAATAACAAATATTTTTCATAATGGCAAAGAATCATTAGTAAAACTTCTCATAGAAGGAATCAGAATTACGCTTCTGTACCAATAAAATATGAAATTTACATTAATAATTAAAATATAATGTAAGACAACAGTACTTTTATTTTACATTTCAGGTATGGCAAGAAAGCGGACTTTGAATAGTGCAACAAATTTAATTTTCAGGAATCACAGTGCTAAATATTCTACTCTTGCTGATTAGAAGCACTGGGTCAGCAGTGATTGCATGAAGTAAATGCTCCTCACTTCCTAATGGCCCTCAGTGGGGCTGCTGAAACTGATTTCTTTCCAGCTCATACCTATAGAAGGTAATATCTTGGAGATCTGTTGTAGTATTACTACTTGCCACCATCTTGTTAACATTTACTACAGTGGATAAATACTGTATATTGCAGCCAAATCAAAGCCACAGGCTCGATCTGTTGACAGAAAAAATGGCAAAAATAAACTATAAAGCAGGGTCTACCCTAAATGTAAATGTAAACAAAGTGAATATTTGGGAATATCAAACCAAAGTCAAAACAGATGGGTGCAATAATCAGATGCTCCATTCCTGATGACATCGTATTACCTGCAAGTAAAAAGCAGGAATAACACTCGTCTAGTCAAAAAACCTTAGCAAAGTTTTGCCAGCCTGTAGGCTGTGGCTGATTGGAAGGAGGAGCAATAACTATCTTGTTTGCCGGCACCCTATGAACCGGTACATTCAATAAACCAGCAAAACATGTATACCTGGAATACCAGAAGTTTAATGTATTATCACAATCTCCACAATGTCAGTAGTTATTTGAGGGTGCAAGTGAGAAGCTTCTCTGCCATTAAGTTTTATCTAAGGCAAAGTTGTATTACTATTTATGTTATTTGTGCTGTAAATAACATTAGTGATGTGTATATCCCCTGCATAATGTTTCTATTACTTAGTGTGTTTTATATTATGTAGACCTGCTGGAAACTGCTCAGCATGACAGGCAGCATCTATAGAGATAGAAACAACTGATGTTTCAGGTCAATGACTTGATGAAAGCCCAAACCATTAAGTATTTTCAGCATCCACAGTATTTTGCTTCTGTGACACAAGAAAATATGCATTTAGGGAAATCTTAGAGGATGACTGGAATTATATTCTCACACGTCAGGAAGGGAATAAAATTGAAGGGGATGGGGTGCAGGGCAAGAAAATCTAAATTCCCTTTGGAAATAGGATTTTTGGGATAAAATCAAAAGAAGTCACAAATCTTACCTAAATCATTATTTTTGGTTATGGCTGCAGCTGCCCTCGTTCGTGGTCCTTGTTGCGTGAACTGATATCCAAACTTCAAGATTGAGGAGTTTGTCTCCAGCATTTGCGCTATTTCCATTTCAACTGTGGCACCTAACTGTTGGCGCTATGAGCAGAAATAGCCAATGTAACTAATGTTGACTGATAAGGGACAAGCCTCTAAGTAAACTTATTTTAAAATTGTCATCTTAAGAGAGTCATGCAGCTTGATCAAACATCTTTTGGGGTGGGTGCAGAGTGGCTTACAAAAACATTAGTAAAGCAATTCTAGCCCAATAGTTGTATATAATTATTAACGTTTTTCAATTTTATAACAGATTAGTGGTTATCATTTCAGAACTCAATATTATATCATTGTTGCAAATAATACACATTTGTTCTTTCACATGAGACGACAGAATCCAGAATAAGGCCGCAACTTCAACAATGTAATTCTTAAAAATGATACGAATAAATCTAACAATATGCATCCATCAATATCTTCAAAACTTGAAATGAGCTCGATCCAGAACAGGTTATCTTGTTAAACTGACTGAGAAAAGGTAATACATTCAATAAGATGCAGTAACAATTCAGCCATGGCGCATGAAGCATCATGACATTTTAGCGTTGTGGCCTGAAGGCATTATATATTGAGAAAAAAATAAACTGTCTTAGCTTTGTACCAAGGATACACAAGTAGAGCTTTCAAATAATTTCAGGCAGAACAACTTACCTGATTATCAATCTTGATCTCCATTAACGTTTCATTCTCTTTCAGTGCATCTACAATTGCTTGTATACCAACACCAGTGATGAAGTTTGACTCAAGATTTAGACTTCTAAGTGTTTTATTAACTCGTAGCATATCTGCAAAAGCCTTCATGACAAAAATTTGGTTTGAGTGCTAACAACAAGCAATTCAAAATTAAGTATCTTTAAAGCACTTGAATACCAATATGTGCAACGCTGAGATAAAATCAGAATTACTTTAAAGAGAGTTAATGCTGTCATTCCTATTAGCCCAGTGACTGAAACACTCCTGTTCAGAGGCTCTTGGACAGAAGGAGAAACATTTGAGTAGGCAAGTGCCAAGCAGGCTGAATTCACAGCTGGCAGGTGAAGGATACTTTACAGTCATACAGCAAGGAAACAGAACTTTTGGTCCAACTAGTCCAATTTTCATAGGCCCACACACCATCAAAAATACACCATGATCCAAACTGTGTTTACGTGTGTTTTGGTTTAATGATCACTAACCACTATTAACACAACAGATTTAGAGAATACATTTACATTAACCAGCGTACCAATTTTCAGACAAGCCCTCCATCTTAGAAGGGAAAATCATAAAATGTTGCTTAAAAGCATGTGACTTACAAATTGCTAGCATGAGAGTGGTGAATATTATTCTCCAATGTTCAGGCCCACATATTTATAAATATAGGTTATTACAAGTGGGTCAGAATTTTGTATCATGTCTTATTACCACCATTTAGATGAGCGGGGAAGTTGGGATAGGATGGATGCAAGGCTGTGTGCGGCTCACTATTTTGGAATTATGGTATCGAGCAAAACATCAAGTTAACTCACTGAAGAGCAAAAGAACACTTCATGAAAACAATATTAAAGTAAAGCTGAACTTACAAAAGCAATAGGGTCATTGCTCCGAGTTGCTGCCAAACTAAATTTCTTCAGGTGAGTATTTTTCTTCAAGGTTTCCGCAAAGTCTTTTAATGTTGGAATTGGAATATTCTATGGACAAATGCAAATCCAGGATGATAATTAATCAATGCACACTGGAGCCCCAGCTTACCTGTTCCTTATGCTAATGAGGACTCCAAAGCAGTTACCAATGCCCCATGTGTACCACAGGCTGTTTTGCCTTTCTTCAAACAAATGCTTGAGTTACCAGATGAGGAACTGTCAGAAAGTGTGTCTTATTCATGCACTGCACCACTAGATGGCAATTAGGGCTTTCGTACATATCAATTTAACATGTATCGTCCACTTGTTCCATTTTAGCTCCATTCTCCTTTTGAAGTATTTTATGATGTAGTACATGCCAAAAACTAGATGGTGCAAGACACAGGACAGTTAATCCAATTGGACTAACTTGTGGAATGCAAAAATAGTAATTACCCCATGCCATAATTTTCTCTATTTCACATTACCAATCGACACCTTTATTAGCAATAGCTAAATAATTCTGACTTGATCAAATCTCTCATGCAGGGATTCAGTTGCTGAAAACCTAGCTTTTGTAGCCGTTACTCCAACTTCAGTAAAAACTGAAAAAACTGCGGATGCTATAAATCAGAGAAAAAGACAGAAATTGCCGGAAAAGCTCAGCAGGTCTCGCATTATCTGTGGAGAGAAAGCAGAGTTAATGTTTCAGGTCGAATGGCTTTTTCTGAGAACTGACCTGAAACGTTAACCGTGCTTTCTCTCCACAGGTGCTGCCAGACCTGCTGAGTTTTGCCAGCAATTTCTGTTTTCTCTAATACTGAAATAGGAAATAAAAAGTCCAATGTTGACAAGGGTCAAAATACTGAAGGAATTGAAATATCAAAATTTAAATTAAAGCAGTGAACACTAGAGGGTATCGTCAAAATCAAGGAATAATGGAGGCAAAGAAGTCGTTAACCACAATTTGGGACATCATTTTAGTAGCAGCTTTTTACCATAAATCAAGCTACTGGTATATGTATAGTATTACTACTGTGATGAATTTTTACACAGCACAGTTCATAAGCAGAGTCTTGCACTTATCCTTCAGAAGTGGTAGGATTTCATGAGATGGTGTTAAAGGACTTTATTACGTTAAGCAGTTAGAGTCTTTTAAAATTTTGAAAATATGACAATTATGAAATTTAATCAATTGCATAAATGGAGACTTTCACTGCGCTAATTTAGTTACTGGTAACAGATGTCAGTTAGTTTCTTCGAAGTGCAAAAAGAAAGACGCATTCAAAAAAGATACTGAAATGTAACCACAACAATCCTACCTTTATGTTATTAAGATTAACCTCTACAAGCCCTGGGTCATTGGCTTTTATTCGCTGTAAACTTTCTTCTACATTTGTTGGATTGGGAGGTTCATCAAAAACTGGTTTAACCTTCTCACCTTTGACAACATCTGAAAATCATCATTTACAGCAGTTATCAACACCTTTAAATATTAAGGAGACATCTGTTAAGAAGCTGAAGTGTACGTATATGGGCAATTAACCCTCTTCAATAATGATAGTTAATACATTAACCCAGCGTGGTTGCAACTAGTTGGTAAAGCAATGTTTGTGCTGAATCAGCTTTACGTTCAGAAGTCAATATATAAATGAAATGGTATATAAGCAGGGCTGTAACATGTACCGGTTTTAGTCTTACTTCACTGACGAATTGCTTCTATTTAACATTAAGTCAACGTTGAGGCACATACTTGGAAATAAATATTTTAAAATGAAGTTTTACCCTGCTAGCCCAGAATATTCTAATAAACAAATCTATGCAAAATAAGAATGATAATAGACCAATCTTTACTGAGTGAAATATGAAAGTTCACTATTAAAACAGTACTGAATCAACTTACTACCTTGAAGGCATGAGGGAAGGGAAAGAAGAAAAGAATAGAAAGAAACAGCCAAGACAATTACTTGGTTCTGTTACCAGGATTCCAAAAGAACCTAAATGATGAACCAGTGAAATTTTTATACTGTACCAATTATATATTTTAAACACAGTGCGCTCCTGGAAAGAACATTGAGCAGTGTGTTGCGCGAAGGTGAACTATTCGTGGTTACAGATGATGGAAAATTTTGCAGAGAACTAAGTGTGTCATACAAAAAAAAATTACACTGGCTTGAAACAAATCATCTTTTCTACACACTGTGTCCTTCCAACATTATACACTTGAGTAATTGGCGCTCTTAATCATATGGTGCTAATTTGCTTAATGAACTACTGCAGTCCATGATCTGAATACTTCAGTGCATTTGAATTTTAGATTTTTAGAAAATCCAATTGAGAAGAACATTTTAAATTGGTATCAGCCAAAGTGACTGTTTTTTAAATTACAACTGATTGCATACCAAATATATTAAACACTTACTGACTAAATTATTTTACTCCATATTTGACTCCTTCACTGATATCTAATGTTTAAACTACTGATATTCCACCCAGACAAATTGGCATTCTCATTCACCTCACTCCCAAGCCATAAAGTGAATACTCATCAGTCAGAGAATTTCACTATTCCAGAAATAAAAATATGCAAAGATATATTTGAATGCTAAAACTTGATTTCTGTTCTTAAAAACAAAACACTACAAAACTGCTTCAACTCTGCGAAGTATTGTCATACTTCTAACGTAAACGTAGTTGTACAACAATTGCTAAAAATAGTAACTTTTTGCCAACTTACTGTTCAAGCCTCCTTTGCTTCCAACAGAATCTAAGTAATGTGTGTTGCTCACCAAAGTGTGCATCCCTAAAATGGCTGAAAATAGGAAAAGGCAAATTAACGATGTCTTAAAACCAGATTCACTGAATTCTCAGTCAAATATAATACACAATAAATGTTACAAAATAAATGAATGGACAAAAGGAGCATGTTGAAACAAGTTATTTAACTCAGTTACTGAAAATGATTTCCCCTTCAAATTAATTCCTCCACGTCCAAGAGGACAATCAAAATTACATATAATGAACAAAAATTCCACATTAATTGAGAATGGATAAACAGAAGGTTTTATGCATTTCCTGCTGTGCAATCAACATGGAATTTTCTAGAAATGTGTTACTAAACAGAAACACAACCATAGAAATTAGCAACAGCTTTCTAGATGAGAAACTGCTCACATACAGTATTTGCAAGAAACTTGTTACCAGCACCAAGTTCCTCAAAAGCCACAAACAAACACAATGAAACATTGCCAGAAAGTTGTTTTGGAACTGAGTTTCAAGTCAGTTGTGTCAAGGGAAGATACGAGACAAAATATTTTAGGCAAACTACTTTAAGTGTAGTGTGTTGACATCCTAACCCTGTCTGAAAAAAAATGGCAGCTACAATTACTGATCATTTCAAGTTTTTGTTTGAGGGCATATTATCTGGTTTCCTTAATTTATTCATTTGCTGGTTTCCACTTGATAATGCAATTCCCATTTCATAGACGGAGCAGGGACATTCCCCCAAGTCCACTAGTGATGGTACCAGTTTAGCTAAAAAGTTAGGTAAAAGTGCCTTGTGAGATTCTCTTTCTCCACTTCATCCTCAACTCTGTCCCACTGGAGATTTCCATCAATAGCAGAATGATCAAGAGGAAGAATAAGTAGAATTTAGAGGATCAAAGTTATTACCTATCGCTCTGGTACTGTGTTGTGCTACAAATTTGTTATACTTTTTTTGCATGAAGTTTATGCAATACAATGACTGGGAATCACGCATAACACGACTCACTGAGCTGTGCAGATATTCAAGGACAATTTTGTGGAGACAGTGAATTAATGAACTATAACTGCAGATAACCAAGCTGCAAATCATAAATACCTAAATACGAGAGTTGTGCCACAATAGCAGTGCTCAAATCATTAAATCGTGGATAAAGATTTTAACAACTAAATTCCATAGGTGTGATTCTGAAAGCATCCAACTCCAAAACTTCCTGAATTTTGCTCATATTATATAGTAGATCCTTAGTCATTCTTTCATGGCAAATTTTATTTCAGTTATTGTTCTTAACTAAAACTAAGCGTAATTATAACAAGTAAACAAAATTCTCATTTTAACTATCTTGCACAATTCCATCTCCATCTCTATTCAAGACAAGAGCAAATTAATTAAATGAAACAGACATCAAGGGAATGCTCTGCTCACAATGGTTTACCTGCAAGGTCACAGAGTTCTGTATCTGTTGCACTGGTCAAGGCTTCTTCCAGTTCTGGATCCAGGGTCACTTTCTCTTCCACACGCTGCTCCACAGGTTTCTGCTTAGGTATCCACAACTTTCCTATAACCCCAAATGATTTATAAATTATGTTTTTTCAATCTATTTTGTCAAACCAGTTTCTCGTTTTAATAGCAGCTTATTGCCATAAATCAAGTTATTGGCATATGCATAGTATTATTACAGCGATGAAGAATTTTTAAACAGCACAGTTCATAAGCAGGATCTTGCACTTATCCTTCAGAAGTGACAGAATTCCACGAGGTGGTACTAAGTACTTTATTACACTAAGCACTTAGGTTTTTTAAAAATTTTGAAAATAAGATGGTTATGAAATTTAATCACTCAAACCAGTTTCTAGTTGATGTTTGTAACAAGGGTAAAACAAATCTAGCTAAAATTGAAAAGAAAACTCAAATTGAAAAGAAATTCTATACTTCATCCCTGATAAAAGTGGAGTTGATTCTATATAAGCAAAATTAGTAGATATTTTCATGTTTACATTATACTATTGCATATGTTAAAAGCTCTAGAGTGACCCAATGCAGCAACACATCACTTGCTTCACACACAAAAACTTGCGGTTTTGTCACAGAACAGCTTACATTCAAAATACCACCTATTTCAGCTAGTTTACTAGGTCAGTACCAGGTTGGTAAATGGAGGCATTTTACAATCCAGATTACCAACCATTCAGTTGTAAAAGTTAAGATTGCTTTCAAAAACAGAGAGCAGGGAAAGGAATAATAAGACCATCTAGCATTTATATAGTACCTTTAATTAAGTAAAATGTTTTATTGTTCATGCCTTGGGATAAAGTCGGACATATGTATCAGGAGAAACTAAAACAAATAAGCAAAGATTTGGTCAAAGAGATATGTTTTAAGAAGATTCACAAAGGAAATGAGATTATGATCTTGAGACCAAGGCAGCTGAAGACTCAACTACTGATATGAAGTGATTAGGAATCTAGACCAGGAGTACAGGAATTTACGAGCATGATCCCATACGAGGTTGTAATCTTAAAGACCTGATGCGCAAACAGTTGCTTTCCATTGTTTCCAGCATTGTGTTTCAACTTGCATACAAAATCGATTTGTGAATGGTCTCCAGAATGGAATCCAGGACCTCCCGAATGCTGTGTAGTCCCTCGAGTCTGCTCTGCATTTTAATTCTGTCTTGGCTGATCTGCATATACTCTATACACTTGCCCATGCCCTAAAACCCTTATTACATATGGATAACAAAAAACAATAAATCTCCAATCTAAAACTGACGACTGATTGAGCATCTTTTGCTGCTTGCTGCATGCATAAGAGTTCCACAGTAGTAGTGGCCTCCAGGCCAGAAGATCCAGGTACATGACCCACCAGCCCAAGAGATGAGTCATAACACACCCAGACAAGGTGAATGAAATAACTTAAGAATTTCTAAGCCTTAGTTCTTCTTAGCATATAGAGGCTCAAGTTTTTAGACTCTGCTTCCAGAGATCCCCATTCAGCAGAAATAGCTTTGCTCAATCTATTCACCTTAATATCTTGGGAACTTCATCATATTATATTTCAACGTTCTAAATCCCAGAGAATATAACCTTAGTTTGTAAATTTTTTCCTCATGAAATCTAGCTCTTGGAGTCTTGGTAGAATTCTAATAAATCCACATTACATTTTGCCAAAAGTCAATACATCTTTATGGTCTGATGCCCAGAACTGCTTGTACAACCCAGCACTGTGCCTAGAACTAGACTACATCTGGACTATCACAAGAACGTTGCATAACTAAAGCATGACTTCTTGCACACATTATTAATTTTAATAGGGATATGTCGGAATTGGAGGAGCACACAGACGTGAGGGTTATGAAGCTGGAGCATATTACAGAAACAGGAAGGGCCAAGACCATGAAAAGATTTGGAAAGAGGGATTAGACAGTGAAAAATTAGATGTGTGACCGACAGCCAACATAAAAGGAGGAAGCACAGATATGATTGGGGAGTAGGACTATGAAGATTCGCTTAGAGGTTGTTCCCTCCAAAAATCCTGAAAATTCAGAGCAATCCAGCTTCATCTTGATTTTACTGAATTATAACGCATTCATATTTTATTGACTGGAAGGTTTTCAACCAATCATTTCTAGTTCTAATGCCAAACTAAATTTGAAACACTGGAAATCCAATGTAGGCTAAAACAAATTACTCTTCCATTGAAAATACCTGGATTTCGTTTTTAAAATTGCTGCTGGGCATAAACAAAAGTTAGTGCTGGGCATATACAAAAACTCTGAAATGCAAAGTTGCATGTACCAAACAAAAAAAAAATTTAATTCAACATATTTAGATATAAAACAATCCATGCTAATGCAGAGGGGTAAGCTGCATTTTATATTCTTTACTTTAGATCATAAATCTGTTTATCAGAAAAACCAAACAAAATACACTTACATTTTAGTCAATAAAGTAGAAAATACTAAACTCAGCATCAAAGCCATTCAAATAAAATTTCCTACACTGTGCTAGGGTTAGGGTCCAAGAATACTTGACTGACAGACAATAAGCCACTTTGGAACAACCTGACAGTTAGATATTAACTGGTCTAAATAAGGAAAAATGATCAGGAAGCTCAGAGAAGACCACAGCTGTCGTAATAAAGATACCAGGCAGAGGTCCACAGTTCAGGAGAAACCCAAATAAGTGCAAGAGGCAGTACTTAAATAACAGCAAAGACAAAGACTAAATGGCAAAAGCAATAAACTGAGAAGTTGAAATAAATGACATGCATAAACTGCAGCTTTAGAAAACTCATTCCGAAAGGTCATGTACATAAGGTCAGTACTCCTTCTGATGACAAGAACTAGATGTTCGTACTAAGGGAGGTTTACAAAGACTACTGAAGATGAAGCAAAGAGATTCAGTGATGGGAGTCTGCTCGGGGATCGATGACATAGGGAATTATTAAGGACCTTAAAAACTCAACATTAAATACTGTTCATAAAGGTTCGATGGTTCAGTTCCTGTATTTAGAAAAAGGAGCCCCAGAAACTTGGGACAATGAGTGAGCAAGTGTTAAACTGGTGTGCAAGTAATTCTTATTTTGAACTGAGAATTTTTTTGACAATAAAGATTGGCACAAGACAGATGGTCTGTACCTAAATACAGCAGAAACAATGCAAGATGCAAAGAATCTTTAATGAGATAGGTGAGAGAAAAAAATTGGAAAAGGAAACTGGATACTAAACTACATTGATAATGTCCACAACATCTCAAAGACTCAGATATGTTACAGGCAAATAATAAGGGCCAACAGAGAAGACAAATCTGCAATAGGTGTCTGTATACATGAATGCTTGAAGCATTTAGAATGATGTGACTGTTGTAGAAACTATTATGGTGGTAGGGCATTAAGGCAGAAAAAGATTAGAATGCTACCAGTTAAATGATATGGAATACAGTCACTATGAAATGTACCTGGTAAAGCATAAATATCTTTGAGGGAGAGAGGCCCTAGTTAGTATATCCAAAAATGCACTGGCAAGACTGATTAGACGCCCTATGTACCAAGGACGGCTTAGATAAATAATTACCTCTCATATCATGAATCAAAGGATGTCACTAAATAATAATCAGATAAATAATAACTCTAAACCAAAGGAGATGGTCTACTGGGTCTAATTTACATTACTGACTAGATTCAGTTGATTAAATTTGACAAACTTGCATTTGTATTGCACTTATTACAGAACCAATCACAAATCAAGTGGAAAATAATTGGATTCACAGGTGCCCCTGAAGATAAAATAGATAATTGTAACTTTAAAAATTTACAACAAGGACTAAGTGAGTACAATAAAAATTGAAGGTTGAAAGTTGAAAATTGAACATTGACAATAGCTACAGGAAATTTAAAGCAATTTGAACACCAAAAGGATCAACAGGTGCAATGTTGAGGCATTAAGGTATGCAAAGAACAAACAACTAAGTACAGAACCTAGTATTAGAATCACACAGCGCAAAAAAAAAGGCCCTTTCAGCTCATCGAGAGTTATCTACACTAATCCCACGTTCCCGCACTTGGCTCACAGCCTTTAACATTATGACATTCAAGCACTCATCTACATACCTTTTAAAGATTGAGGTTTTCCCATCTCTACTACCCCTAAGACAGGGTATTCCAGATTCCCATCATCCTCTGGGTTAAAAATCTTTTCCTCAATCCTTTCTAAACTTCCTGCCCTTCGCCTTAAAATGATATACCTTCATTATTGACCCTTCAACCAAAGGGCACAGCTACTTCCTATCCAACCTGTCCACACCTCTCAATCTTATACACCTCTATCAAGTCACCCCTCAGCCATCTCTGCCATAAATAAAACCACCTGAGCCTATCCAACACTCTTTATAGCTAAAATGCTCCATTCCAGGCAGCACATGGGTGAATCTCCAATCCGATCACATCCTTCCTATAGTGAGGCGACCAGCTGTGCACACAGTACTTCAGCTGTGGCCTACCTAAAGTTTTGTACAGCTCCAACATAACCTCCCTGCTCTTATAATCAATGTCACAACTGCTAAAGGCATATGCATTCCTAACTACTCTAGTAATCTGTCCTGCTGCCTTCAGGGATCTGTGGACAAGCACCCCATGATCCCCCTGTTTATCCAAGCTTCCTAATACCGTGTCATTCATCAGGCACACCATTATCTTGATACTTCTTCCAAAGAGGATCATCTCACATTTTTCAGGATTAAATTTCATCTGCCACAGATCTGCCCCTCTGACCAACGTCTCTATAGCTTCCTGTAACCCAAGAACTCCTTCTTCACTGTTAACCATCCAGCGAATCTTCATGTCATCTACAAACTTTCTCGTCATCTCCCTCCACATTTTCATCTATATCATTTATATATACATATCACAACTGATATCTCGCAACTGATGCAAAATGACTTCATACAAAAAATCCTTGCCTTAGGTTATTTCTACACCTTGCTCTGAGTTTTAGGTAGATCCCAGAAACAAATTGCTCTAACTCCTTCAACTGTCACATTTCATTATAGAAACAGAAAA